CACCATGCCTATACGTCGTACTCAACAAGAAGCAAATAGCAAATAGGACACAACTCCTAATCCTCAAGCTAAGGTTAGACCAAACACGTACCTCGATGCCACGAACACAATCCACGATTCAATTTAGCTTTACCCCTTGATTACACCATCAATTCGCTCGTATCTAGTCACAAATTACTTAATTACATCAATAAACGCTAAATGAATCAACCCCAATGCATGAAAATGAGTTTTCCAAAGTTTTACCCAAAAAGTCAAAAATTACCCCCAAGCCCACATGGTCAAAACCCAAAGTTCGAACCAAAACCCGATTACCCATTCCCCCACGAACCCAAATATATAATTTGTTTTGAAATCGGACCTCAAATCGAGGTTCAATTCCCAATTTTTCGAAAAACCTAGGTTCTACCCAAAACACCCAATGTCCCCCATGAAAATCATTGATTTGAAGTTGAAATCATGTTAAAAGATGTTAAGAATTGAAGGAAGTTAGTTAAAAATGACTTACAATTGATTTGGAGAAGAAGAAATCCTTGAAAAATCGCCTAAGTGTGTTTATGTTTTGAGAGAATATGAAAAATGGGTTTAAAATCGTCTAAGTATAAAAGTTCGAGTCTCCCCAAGAGCAAGGTGGGAAGTTCTTGGAGGGAAGGATGCCGGGGGTCTATTTGGAAACAGTCTCTCTACCCTAGGGTAGGGGTAAGGTCTGCGTACATACTACCCTCCCCAGACCCCACTAAGTGGGATTATACTGGGTTGTTGTTGTTGTTGTTGTAAGTATAAAAGTTGCAGGACTCTGATATGGGAATTGCGAACCCCGACCTCTGCTGGCTTGGGAAATACGAAACAGGGTTCACATTTGCGAACCCTTCAGGAAAATGGGATCTTCGCATTTGCGAAAGGCATGTCGCATTTGCGACCATTGGCCCAAAGGGAAACTTCACAATTGCGAAGAGGATCTTGCATTTGCGAGAGGGAGCTGGCCTGGGATGGTTTCGCATTTGCGATCTAGCCTTCGCATTTGCGAGCCAGGCCTGGGCATACCAGCAAAATTTTCTGCAATTTTCCAAGTTCCAAATGCACTCCGTGGCCTATCCAAAATTCATCCGAGCCCTCGGGGCTCCAAACCAAATATACACACAACCTCAAAAACATCCTACGAACTTATTCGTGTAATAAAATCACCAAAATATCATCAAGAACATCGAATTAAACCTCAAAATCAATGAAACATCTCAAAACTCTTACACATCCTTTTTTTTTCCATTTAAGGTCCGAATCACGTCAAACGGACTCCGTTTCTCACCAAATTTCACAAGATCATCTTAAATCATATATAAGACATGTACCGGGCACCATAACTAAAATACGATCCCGATACCAATATGTTCTAATCAAATTCATTTCAAATTCCTTTAAACAAATTTCAGAAAATAATTTTCTTTAAAAATTCATTTCTCGGGCTTGGGACCTCGGAATTCGATTCCGGGCATACGCCCAAGTCCCATATTTTCCTACTTGCGGGTCCGGGTCTGTTTACCCAAAACGTTGACTGAAGTCAAGTTAATTCATTTATAGTCAAAACTTATCATTTTTCACAGATTTTCACATTTAAGCTTTCCGGCTACTCGTCCGGACTGCGCACGTAAATCGAGGTGATGTAAGAGAGGTTTTTAAGGCCTCAGAAAGTAGAATTTTATTTTAAAATAAGTGATGACCTTTTGGGTCGTCACAAAACATAAGTGCGAAGAAGTTTCTGAGTGTACCTGAATCGTTTGTTTGTGTTANGGTGTTCTTTAGATGTCTTCATTGGCGGAGAGTGAAGCAATTTTTTTAGCGGAATAGATATAACGTTTGCAAATCAGAAGTAACGCAATGAAGGGAGATGTAGTTGAGTAAAGCATATGTTTTTGAATGTCAGTAATTAAGAGGCGTGGGGGTATTTGAATAGGGGAAAGGGAATTGTAAATGCAAAGAAGGTTGGGTAAATTGGAGTAGGGGCAACGTAATTGGGAATTTAAAGAAGCGGCGCTGGAGGAAGGGAAAGTGGAAGCGCAGTTGAAAGTTTAGATGTGGTTTGTTTGATGTGAAGAAGCGGAGACGAAAGAATATGCGAAGTATTTTTTTTTGTGTGAAACTCCCGGTAAAAAACCCGAGGCTAGAAAATTGAATTGCTGGTTATTGGGAGTGCCACCTCACTGGGGTTAGGGCCCTCTATTATGTATATACTAGATAATTTGCTCGCGCTTCGCGCAATTATAATAAACCTTTTTAAATTAACAAAATATATCATTTAGTTTTAACAGGGGAGATGGAAGACATAAAGTCTTTAGCAGAATGATAAAGGCATCTTCGTTGAACCAATTGAACATCCATTTGAAACGACAACTAATATTTTGACATTAAGAATTAACGGAGTCACTATTATATCATATTAGGAAGTACACACTGAAGAATCAAGTGTAGCGTAAATGATATCTTAGTGCTTTAGACGGTCTGCTAAATGGTTTGATCTTTCAATATCTTTGTAATAAAAGTGACAATTGGAGGAGAAATACATTTAAAATGAACATAAGAGCAGCAAAAATTCATCTTTTGCCATATGAGTTTAATGTTTAGTGTAAATGGAAATCATGAAAATTATATATTCTTTCTGGGAATGTTAACTGAAGAATAATATACAGTCACCGATAAAAAAAGAATGATACATATTTGCTTGGATTATGAGATGATTATAACTATTCTTGCGATACCTTCCTCACTTTAATACTAACTTGAAAACTTAGAGTTTGTTTCAATGGTAATATATGCATTTTCTTTCAACAAAAGTTACAAGACTCCGACGTTTCTTATCAGACATTTTGTAAACTGTTTATGGTCTCCGCAATTGTTACTGCATGATTGTTTCCCAATTTGCCAATGTCTCATAGTTTATTGCTTTGGAGGGATATTATTTGATTGTTCAGTTATAGCCCTGCATAAAAATAATACTTATTTCGTTACTAAGTTGCAGTAATATCACCCTTGTAAGGCTACAATATAATTATGCTCCATGTTACGAAATATCAAGCAAAAATCAAGAGATTTTCTATACTTTAAACTGAGCATAGAACATTAAACTCCAAGATTAATAAGACATGGAGAAGGTAAGAGGAAGGAGTTCTCGATCAACAAATCTAATTTAAGGAAAACCTAGTCAAAATATTAAAGGTTTACCTATTGTACTTGATTACATTAATTATCAAGTACGGTAAGATATTGAACAAAAATAAAAGAGCAAGGAATTCATGAAGCTATAAGGTATCATACTCGAGGTTTTTTCCCCTTGAAATCCTTTAAACTTTTGGGTTCAACACTCATTACATGGAAGCAATATAAGTCTGAACTCCAACTCATTAGACCGGTCATCAATCAAATGATCCCTTGAACTTATACATGAAGTGGAGATAGTAATAACTTTTCTCACGGGCTACGAACAGAGCAAAGAGCTATATAAACAACAAAAATGTCTAAAAGTATGTTCGAGGAAACTAACATAAAACCTATGAAAGTCAAGCAGTAGACTTGAACAACAATGGAACACATTAAAAGCTAATCAAAATAATAGGCAATCAAACGGATGAATATGAAAGTAATTAAGTTATGAAGTAGTGAGTTTAAATGGGGAAAGGAACATGGCTATAGGCTACTTATTTAAATTGGAAAACTACTTAGAAGAGACATATCAAATTAGTTTTTTCTTTTTAAATAATAAATCAATATATCCAAAAAGTAGAACACAGTCAAAAATTTAAGAATAAAGTTAAATAGATCCTGGAAAGACTTTAAAAGATGAAAAATAAATAGAGATTATATCTCATTGGAGTAGCACATTATGTATCTCCGTTTGGGTCTAAAATTTGTATATACAAATGACATATCAACTGTAAGAAATAATTTATCAAATTTACTACACTTACAGTAAAGTTTCAAGCTTCTCAATCATCATTATCAAAATTAGGTGCGCGAAAAAGATAAAACACCCCAAAAGGCTTATTTCTTATGGGTATCCTATATGAAACATGACCCTTATACAATCCAACCAAAAAGTATCAACCAATAAATTCAAGAAAAAGTAAAAAATACAGAAACATCAACTTTTATGAAATTACTCAAAGGACAAACCTCAATGGAAGAAGTAGGGGTAGAGCCACCATCAGTACCACCAGTCTACCTTGTTGCTTCTGATGTTAAACTTTGGCGAAAACCAACACGATTGGTCATTTATAACAAAATCAAATAAAATAAGATCGGCAAAAGAATCAGCAAAATTAATATGTGTTTGTCTACTTTCAATCTAAAAATTCATATTGATCGAATATAATTAAGCGCTAACAAATTACGTAAAGAAACATATTAGATATTCCCTAAGTTGATATAAACATGGGGTGTGAACGATAAAATATGTATTATTAAGATAGCTACTATTAGTCGCAAGTTTATGTTAGTGTATAAGTGATACAAATTCGGTTAGTAGACACAATAATTAAATAAAAGTAGATGTTGATACAAAAATTAACTTAGAAGGAAAAGAGGAGAAGGAAGGCATTACCAAGTAATGATAATAGTGGTTGATCTTTTACTTTGAAAAAAAAAAGTTTCTTTTCTCTTTTGTGATTGCAGCACCAACAAAGTGAATGCAAGTGATGAAAAACTTGATTTATTTGTGACTAACATATACTGAAATCACAATCAAAAATTATTTTCCCAATAAACAGAAAATCAAGAGAGCAAAAAATGAAGAACATCAAATTTAAAGCAAAAATTTTAGATCCGTAAAATCTGAAATATCCACTTTCAGTTTTTGATATTTTTTAAAAAAGGAAAAAGATTTACCGGCCCTTTTTGTCGCTTAAGCTACCAACTTGAATGACAACTATTGGATTTCCATTCAGATCACGACATGCGATACAATTTTTTCATTAGTTTGATAGATTTCCAGTGGTTGGTTTTTTCCCGTGGAAGAGAAGAGACAGTCGAATCAGGAAAAGGGTATTTTAGAAACTGTTGGAAATGATTATAAGTGGAAACGTTTTGGGTTTTCTAAATAATTTTACCGCTGACGTTTAGAGAGACTAATAATGGAAAAATAGTAGGAAGTACTAAAAAATTGAGAGAAAAGAAAAAGACAATCCCCGCGCGTCAAGACATGCCACGTAACTGGCCCTAGACCTCTCAATTATATATATATATATATAGATTTTTGTCAACTAACTCTGTATGAAAAGACAAAGAGGCATGTACCTATTGCTAAATCAAGCCAAACATTCTCATTTTGATCAATTATTTGGGTCGTAGATTAACAACCGGCACCTTTATTGGAGGATTATTAGTACGTAATTATATATTTGCCTTGTCCTAATGCTAGAAATTTTACTATTTAACGTTGTAAAAAATCACACACCAAATCTTGCTTTGTTGCGAGTGGAGGAAATTTCTGGATAATTTACTATTTTACTATTTAATGTTTTATGGAAGATTTTTTTTCTGATTTTGAATCTATTTTTTCTTCTTTTATCACCACATAAGTATACTGTAATTCCAAAAGTTAAGAAAAAAATTGCTTCTACAATCATGATAGAAAATAATACGCATAGAGCATTTTAATAGCTGCATTTATAATTAAGGAGTCGTTTGATAGGATATATTAGAAAAAATAATACATATATTAGCTTTGATATTATTAATCCCTTGTTTGGTAGTAGTTTTTCACCCTATGTATAGTTAATATGTGTATTGGTTATACACTCTATCTCGTCCTATACATAACAAACCATATGGCATTAGCAATACCATGATCTTTAGTAAATGGATAAGTATGTATAAAGATAAAATCTTTTCCCAAATCCTTTACAACATCTTTGGAGGGTACTTTGTAAACAAATAATTTTAAAAAGATTATGCAATTCATATTATTTTTAATATACCAAAACAACTAGTCGATGAGAAATAATCACAGCTAGAAGCGGAGCTATTTGAAGTTTATGTATTCTAAACATGTCGTCGAACCCATAGCTTGTTATAGTTACTGGTGTGGGGTCCAGCCCACATTTTAAGGAAGTTATTTTCTTCCTTTCTTCTTCATTTTCAAAGTTGGCAGAAGCAGGCAGCCCACGTTTCTCATTTTTCTGTCAAAAATGACAGGCTGCAGAAGTTGAAAGGTCAAGGTTGGTAGGCATATTTTGCCTATAAAATGAGAGCTTCGGCTCTCATTCTATCATCACAATCTCAGAGGAAAATATATCTGAGAGCTAGAAAGAAAGAGTGAGGTTTCACAGACAGGGTATAAGAAAATAGTCTGTGAAGAAAATAGAGAGTGTGAGCGATATTGTAGTGAGGTGAAATATCAAAAGAGGGTTATTTCTTTTGAGTATTGTAGTGGTCTTTGTAGTATTTTTACTCGGGCCTACAAAGTGTAAATTCCTTACTATAGTGATATCAGTTGCTCCTCTCGGGGTCGTGGTTTTTCCCTTATTCAGAAGGGTTTTCCACGTAAAAATCTTGGTGTCATTGTTACTCTTGTATTCTTGTTAATTACCGTATTTCGGTGCTACATTATTATTCCGCTTTTATTACCGTGAATATTATTTTGGCAGAGGGTTTATTCCCAACATCTGGTATCAGAGCACAAGTTCTGCTCGTTCACTGAAATACTATTTACTGTCGGTAGTACTATACTTGGTGAAAAAAAAAAAATATCTGGAGTAAAGTACGAGGTAGCAAAATTCAACGGAGATAACGATTTCTCAACATGGCAAAGAAGG